GCTTGAACTGAGTGGAGAATAAGTACAGGAAAACACCCATGACATTAGGTAGGTCCCTATACCACTTAGCATGAGAATACTTTAAAAATGCTTTAAAATGAGGTTTCATGCAGCAAAGCAAGCACTACTAAGATTAATGAGGAAAACATACTATCAATCAATAACTAGCATTTTAAAAGGGCCTACTTTACCACAAAATAAGCAAAAAGTTAACTCATAAAGTTCAGTCTTCAGATTTTCAGCCTTATTATTTTTAGAATTTATTTGTATAAATGCACACCAATACCCTTGCTATCTCTTAACTGGATAAAATGTCACACACTTTAATTTTGTTAATGGGTTTGGAAGCGTCATTATCCTAGTGGGGATGAGGCATCTACATTTTGCAATTGAGCCAATAAACACACTGAATGGATGAGCACCATGGAATCCAGATATACAATGTATTCAAGGAATCAGAAAAAGAACTATTGAAGTAGGTAACAATTGATGAAAGGTAGGCAAGATGTCATCTAAAACACCTGGCATAGCTAGGACAGGAGATGGAGGGGATCAGAGTGAGTGGCAGAGGAAGCATTAGTGTAGCTAACAGGGGGTGACCAGGAAGCAGCCCATGACACCCACTTTGGAGCGGGACAGAAAGAGCAGCTGTGGCAGCTGCCACTGACCCATGCGTTGTTGCTACCCAGGAGGAAAGGAAGGAAGCATTAGCCTATGAATACGCTCATCCATTCAGCACACCAAATAGGAATATTTTATAAATTCTTTGCCTTTTCAAAAAGTATATTACAGACCTACACAAAGCAAACAACCAACTGCTACTAGGTGAGATACACAGGAGCCCTGTCATATTGTCTTACACACACTTTTTAATCACTATTTATTATTTATTTATTACTATTAGGTAAGCAAAAGTGCTTTAGCCTGTACTTTTGTACTATCCAAAATGCATTCGGATCTCAACGCCCAGTCAAATACATAATTAACCCAATGGCGTCTTCATCTGAACTAAAAGTTAATTTCCAGATTTCTGATGGAACCTGTGAACCCTCTTGAAAAAACGGTAGTGTAACTGTTAGTGGGATATGCGTCTCTTTTAGGCGTGGTTTAGAAAAACTGCTTGCTGAATCAGATCCAACCTTTTTGTGTTTAGAAAAGACAAGCTCAATTTTTGTTAAATCCTCTTTATCTAGGATAGTTATACACCGGAGCTCTTTCAAAGAATATACCTGAATTTTGCTAAACTGTGAGTTTGGAGGTGAAGTACACAAAAAACTAGGAATAGGGTAAAACACACTGTCTTCTTTTATGAGTCCTATATGAGTAGATGTAAGAACAAGTGATCTGTAGGTCATTTCTTTAGAACAGTCTATTTTCACTGTGGTATAGAGCAGTACACAAATATCTCCTAAAGGGGGTTTATTGTTTTCCATATTTTCATGGAGTAAATAGACTAGATCAGCTAGCATAGTCCTAAATTGGCAGGACAACCGTAGGCCACTTGAAAAAAGTAAGTCTGTGACTTCACACGTCCAGTCAAGTGAAAGCTGCAACAAATCCTCTTTCAGCAGCTTGTGATTTAAATAATCAGGGTTGTCCGACACGGAAATCAAAATACTCAGTATGTCACGGCATATCCTCTGAGTGAGGTGCTTGTTACAAGTAAATATTGTGAGTAAATTATCTTCAGTAGAACACAGAAGCCTGATACTCTGCCCAGCAAAACCAATTTGAATCTCCCTTATCATGGCAATTGGGATGTTATGAAAAATCACCAGGGAATCCTGGCAATAGTCTTGCTGGTTTACTGAAACAACAGCAGCGTACAGAGTGGAACTGAACAAAAGCAAACACGCAGGCACAGGATCAGGATTTTTGCAATTGCCAACAGCAAGCCAGTATATGCCTTTTAATTCTGCCATACTGACACAAATTTGGGGTAAGGCACAGATCACACGCTCCACTTGTCTTTCCAGAGAACCAGCTTGAAGCCTCAGTAATTTCTCTGGAAAGTCAACAATTGTTTGCCTTAATATAAGAGTATTTTCCGGTACTTCATTTCTAAACTCCTGAACTGAGCCTTCAGATGCATTTTTTGTGTTTATGTTTAAGACTCTGGGGAATACACACATGTTTGTATCCTCAGCTTGCGGGAGATTTTCTGGCTCAGTGGTGTCATCACTATGAGCTTTGGCCTGCACAGTAGAGAGAGGCTTTGCTTGCTTTAAATCTGATTTGAAGGGCACATCTACCTGTAACTTTTTCATAAATGGCAAATTTTTCAGCAATGCTATTATTTGTGCACATCTCTCACTTTTCTCATACTGAATGCTCATTTCTTTTATTTGGTTAATAATCTGAGTACTCCAGTGCAGCTGATCACTAGCATCTTTGTAAAGACCAGAAAGTTTGCTGAAAAGATATCCAAAACCATAGCTCTGTTCTGATCTTGTATCAGAATATGCTGCCTTTGATTTGGAGGCTCTTATTGTGTTAATATCTAGGTCTTTATCAACTTGCAGATAAGAAACATAGGGCTCATCTTGCATTGTCAGGTGCACCGTGTTAAATAAAACGTTCTCTTCTACAGCTACTTCGGGAAGTATATTGGACTGAGGCAGATTAAAGCTAGACAGGCTGTTAAAACTAGCCTTCTCATTAGCACAGGCTAAAGGTTGTAAGGCACACATACGTTGCAAGTAGGAATGATCAGATTCAGCATTTGAGCTGTCTTGGTCCTTAGAAGAAAACTCTGCATGTTCAACGTTCTTGAGATTTGTCATTTTATGCTGTAAATGTTCCATGTTGACTATGTCTTGATTTTGCACAGAAGCATGTGTTATGTTCTGAGAATTAATGTTCACCCTATTATAAATACTATTACTGTTACTGGGATTCACTTTGTATTCACTACCAAACTGGCAGGAAAAGCATTCCTGTTCTAAATCGTTCTTTTCATTCCAAACTCTTGCTTGTGATGTGAAAGGGAAAAAGATTCTTCTAGTAACAGAAAATAAATTCCACATCTCTAAACAGTCATCCTGTTTTTTGAGATCTGTCCTTGATTTTTCTCCAGTTGAATTAGAACCACTGGCGTCATCTTGAGAAATAACCGGTAGGCTACAATGTAGCTGCCAAGGTTGTCTTTTCTGTTTAAAGCGTTAAAAGAAAAAAACAGAAGAGCTTGCTTTTTTTAAAAACAAAAAACAAAAACTGATTTGAACTTTTGTTAAATTCATTTTTAATTTTGGTAAAGTTTGTGCATTCAGAGTATATTAGAATAGAGAGAGAAAATCTGGTTAAGCTGATTTGAGATCTGATTCAGGAATTGTAACCCTCTTTACCCACACCTTTTTTTCTAATTTTTTTACAGTATCCGTTTCACTTCTGTAACTGTGTGTGTGCGTGTGTAATTTTTTTAACCTGGAACAGATTATGAAACATGAGCTTCTAAAGCATGGAGGCTGTCATGGAAGGAAAAGGAAAATGTAGTTTGCCAAATAAAACATTGTGTTCCTAAAACATTTGGTTAAGAAATACTTTTAGATTGTCTAAAATTAGCCCTTCAGAATATAATCATGTATACTACTTCTTCAAATATAATTCTGATAGTAGAGACCACCAGACTTCAGAATAGCTTAAGGACTTAGAATAATTTTTGTTTCTGTTCATGAACCATTTTTGTTCTATAGATATGAGAAAGGGATACTGTTCCAAGTAAGGAATTATGAAGATTTCTCCATTCCATGCCATTCAAATAAAGTAAAAATTTTACCCAACCTGCAGGAATCAGTTTAATTTTAAAGCCTGCAAAATACACTGACTTCCCCGTTAGCCATTAATCTTGCTGTGAATTTAAAATTTTAATTATGCCGCTAAACATTAAGAAATTTAATTACGGAGCATGCTATAATTTAAAACACTCAGTTCTTTCTGACAACTAACTTACCTCATACTTCAGCTTGCGTTGAACAGTACCGTTATGAAGCTTCTCATTATCCTAAGATCCAAAAGATTCATGCAATCAAAAAAGTTTCCTTCTAATAAAAGTTACTTCAGAACTGCTGATAGCAAAAAAGATCTGAAGTAATCTGTTAGCTGCCAAAATATCCATTCCTATATTTGTATTTGTTAAAATGCAACTTCATAGTTGAATAACACCGCTTGCAACACAGATCCTTGTCTGTCCCGGAGAAAACACTGCCTCAGCACTCCCCCAAAAAAGCTTTGTCCAATTTCCTTCCTGAAGGACCCCCTGAAGCCAGATTCTGGACGGCTAAGCCTCCACCTTTGAAAGCCTGGCTTCCCCAGCTACAACCATTTGAAGGATGTTTTGTTGGAAATGGCAAGTATTATTTTTTCTATTCTAATTTTTTTCTTCTGTCATGAACATAAGCATATTAAAGGCATCCAAAAACCTTCTGCATTATTTTGCAAAAGCTGAAGGCCTTTGCACCACTGATATTTTCATTTGAATATGAAAAGACAAGTTTTGCACCCAAGGTAAGATGCAACTCACAACCCTCCCTCTCCCCGTGCAACACTTAAAAGATTATTGTCCATTCTACAAGAAAAATGTTGGTGAAATGGGTGAAGTCTTGTCATCTGTTTAAATCCTGACAGTGCTAAAGCCATATGTAAAATGGGGATTTACCATTGATGATAATAGTCAGCATTTTATTCCTTGATTTTAATTCCCCATTTCCCCTCAGGATTAGATGAGGGCACAAAACTCGAAATTTGAAACATATTCTTCTACCCAAGTAAAATTATAACCGTTTACAGTACTGTAATTATTTAATAAACTGAAGTTATAATAAGCCAGAAAACCATGGGATTTCGTCAAAGAAATTGAAGTAATGAGTATTTTTCCTATCTAACTCTTGCTCACCTTTAGAACTTCTGTACATTGGGACAGGCTCATCCGGTTATCTTCATGGTGAATTTTCTGAAGACGCCTCTGAACTTCTTCTTCAATAAATGCACTCAATCTTTAAGACAGAAGTAAAACAAAAACAGGCTATTCTTATACAGAAAACCAACAGTATTTAAAACTGTTCTTTTAACCGTTCATACACATCAAGCATTTTTAAACATAGAAAATGTACAAAATGGTGAACAAACTTTATAGGTCCCAAGCATTTAGTTTTTAACCAGCTTTATTTAACTTAGAGATAAGAAAGGTAACAACTAATTAAATAAGAGATTCAGGCAAGTCAGTAGACCATGGTATGCCATTAATAAGTGTCCATCTCCAAAATGAAATACCAGTTTTATTTTTTGTTTCTATTTCCTACAAGTTTCTTTCTGTAACATTCCCAACATCGGTACTTTAAACAAACTGTAATAAACTTACACAGAATGAAAGTTTCAGAAGTCTATATTAAATATTGTATTCATAAGTATAAAATTAAATGAAAGGGAAAGTAATTAAATCAGTGTGTTTAACATGATGCCAGGCTGCTTTACTATAAAATAATAGAATTTAATTTACTTGGGTGCTTTCAGAATGCACAGGGGTAAATCAGGTAGCCACATAAGCAAATCAACACTTAGGTACAAATTTAAATCAATACAAGGCCAAGAAATCTCAAGGTGTTTATTGAATTCAGTATGTATATATAAAACAGAGTAACCTACAGATTACAAAAAATATTTCAAAATAAAAGCATTGTGATTCTGTGCAATTCTAGTATGGCTTGGTAATTGAAAAATAAACCCCAATCTTGACCACGTGTACACACACACACACACACACACACACACACACACACACACCCCCACCCTAAAATATTTGCTATGATTTAACTGCACTGTTTAAAGTCATGTCAAGCCTAATGAAATTAATTTACGTACCTGTCATCAACTGGTGGAATCAAATGGGACTGGGACTTTGAAGGGCTGGTAGGGGAACTGGTGAGAGAGATTCTTTCTTCTGTTGTTCCATAATAAGGTTTTTGAATACTATCACCTTCATAAATTTTCTGTTTTAGCTGCTGAATTTCCTGATCCAGCCTACAAAGAGATCTTAAAATATAATTCAAATTGTATGTTCTAACAAAAGTCTTTACTGTCTGAAACACTTAATTTAGCTGTTATTTAAATTGATTTCCAAGTTCATATACATACAACAAAGAGATGCTGTAATTATATAAGGATATTATATAAGACCTTTGGAATTTCTATAGCCATACAAATATTAATGTAAATTATATTATTATTGCATATTTGGATGGTGAAGAATACATTCATCATCTGAAAACAACTACATTAAAATGTAGGCATTTTAGTTCAATAAATCAACTTCAATAACTTTCAATATTACTAACAGCTTACTCAACACATTAAAGTGTGATTCATAAGTCCAGCCCATTAAAACCTTTTATGAATACACCTCAATTCTGAACTCTATATCTGATTTCAATTCTATTTCCAGTCTGAGAGAACTGGAACTCACAGGACATGCCAGTAGAATCAAATAAATGCAGACATGGTGACAATATGCCAGGATAACTCGCTGATAAAATCCGTAAAATTGTCCACAACATGCATAAATGAGATTATTTTTTCAGATGTGTCTTGTATATGAATTTGGAAATGCACCCTTAAAACAATAAGCTACAATTTGTTTTGTATAACTGAATACATCATTTTACACTTTCTGTAACAAATGTATCAGTCATGTTCATTTATATGCATAATGGATTCCTTTTTGGACATCAATAATTTTAAATTCAGCACAATAATGGGGGGAAAGATCATCACTGTAAACAAAAGGGAAATAATTTAAACAAGTAATATTTGCCTATACTACCTTTTCATAGATCCACATTTTTCAGCCATGTAACCTCCAACCTAATACCATCATTTTTTGCTCTACCACTCTCAGAGTTCAAAAACGAATAAACGAAGAAATGAAAAACATCATGTGCTGGGTAAGGGATAAAAAAAGAACAGAAGCTGTCACTTCACTTTTGAAGTGAGGTACCCTATCAAACTACAGCCAAAACCCATGCGATTCTTTTGACCTATATAGATATTGTAGTAACAAGGTCTCAAATTATGAGAGAAAGTTGATGGGAGAGTACATCCACAAAGATTATTGTAGTCACAGAATCACAACTACACTTAGAGGAAAATGATCCATCTTTTGCCCAGTCAATAAGTGTTCTACAGGAAAATCTACTACTTCCTGAAATGACTCACTAGCTGTGAATTTATCCTTTTGGGCGATTATTTGCCAGTTTGTGATTATTCTGACACTGCTACTTTTTAGTGATATTGGCCCATTAATGCAACAATAAAACATGCTGTGTTGTGTTTTCTTTATTGCATTATGTAGTAAATGACAATACCTTGCCAATAAAAACAATTCTGTATGCACAAGTTAACTTGTAGTCATTACTGTCTGGCACAACATTTTGTCCTAATATACTGTCAGATGAAGTAATTTAAAAATTACAAAATTGGCAACAAACTATAAGCTAGAGAATAATTGTATCCAGCTCTGAAGGACTGACAGCTCACTGCAAAGTCTTCACTTATCCTAGAGTATTCTACCAGACCCCTGGTTTTAGTGGTTTTTGAGACGGCCAACAATTATTGGAGCTTTTCCTTCCAAGAAAGAACTCTACACAAACCATGTATAGAAAGATGTCATGAAATAGATAATATAAGAAGAGTTTACACAGTATCTAAAGATGTTAAAACACATTAGCAGGAAGAAGAAAAAACATTGTGTGCATATGCAGATGATTATTTGTTGAATTTATCATGCATTAATGCCCAATTAATGCCTATATATGAGTGCGGAGGCTGCTTGGACGTGCTGGAATTATGGATTAAATGGAGACTATCAGAGTGTGTCCATTGTCATGCTCCAGCAGCCTCCTGCATCTCGTGCATCAGCATGCCTGTGCTTAAAAATGGTGGTGAGGGCGCTTGCACTAAATCTTGTCAAACAAGCCTTAGTCCAAGCACCCCCACTGTCTTTTTTAAGCACAGGGATGCTGATACAGGAAATGCCACCCTCCCCACTCCCAGAGCACGTGTAAAAGTGCTCCAAGAGTCCCAATGAAGTTTGGGCCTCCATTCTGCTAGATATTATTCATTCCAAACCACATGGATAGCATGACCTGAGTGCACTGAAGAATTTACAGTCTTCACAAATATAATCTCTTCAGGATTATTTGGCCATGACACTCAGAAGAAGGCAGAAACTGCTTACCTAGGTATACATTACTTCCACAGCTGTGCTATATAAGCTCACCCTGGAAAGTGTGAACCTGATTATTATTTTTACAAAACCCTCTTTCTGTAAAAGGGACCCAAAGTAAATGATAAGACCTGACTTCTCTGCTAGCATGCCTTAAAATATAGCCCTATATCTGATGGCTGGTAAGAATTTATGCAAGTTCTTTCATCGTAAGTCCAAGGAGAAAAATAAAACACATTTTAAAGAACAGATGGAAAAGAAAAAAAAATACTAGTCTGAAATCAAGCAAATGTTCAATCCTCTATGCCTTTCCTAATTAACAAATTGCCTTGATTCAGCACTTAGTTACTATCAATTTCTTTTAATTAACAGATTGAATTATTTTGTTACTTGATATACTTACACAACTTCATTTAGAAGTCAGATACAGGAACACATTCTTATGTTAAATAGGTTGATTTCTAAACAGACGTTTTGGTAGCATAGCATCCTAGATATTCAAGTATTTCTTCAGGCAATAGAACACTGAAAAAAAACTTTCAGTTTTTATAGGCAGAGGACCAATATGTTTGTAGTTTTGAATCAGGTATTATAATTACCAGTCACATCTTCAATATTGGTTACTGTTTTATTAACCCTTTAGAATCCACAATGCAGTTTCACTTTTCACCCATCATCACTAAGGAATTACGTTTCTCATTGAGACCAGAAAAAATGTTGCCTGACTGGTAAGGAGATCTCTTTCTCTTCTAAGAAGAAATCTGTTTTTTTTACTGTCATCCTACAGTAAACCACAAAGAAACAAACATTGTGTTTGTCTGCTTACTCTTTAAAAGCATGCTGGTAGATGAAATACATTGTCAGATCACTTGTGACCATCTTAAGTCTACCACAGATGTGAGTTCCAACCCTAGAACTAGCTAACTCGTCACCCAATAAATAATATGTACTATTTCACACCAGGAAACAAGATCATAGGAAAGCAGGGCTGGAAGAAATCTCACAAGGCCATTTAGTCCAGCCCCCTCCTCAAATCAAGATCCTTAATTAGGCCATCCCATAACTTGACCTTGAAAACTTGTAAACATGGAGATTCCTATTGCTGCTCTGTTCTGGACTTTTTCCAACCTGTCCGTATCCTCCTTGAAGTGTGGAGCCGAAAACTGGACACAGTACCCCAAGAGATGCCTAAATGTGTTGAACAGAGTGAAAGACTAATTTCCCTTGATTTGCAAGTGACACTCCGGTTAATACAACCCAGTATGCTGTTGGCTTTTCTGAAACAAGAGCACCTGGTTGGCTCAGTTTATAGTCCACTGTAAACCCCAGGTCCTTCTCCGCAGTACTGCAATCTAGCCAGGCATTCCTCAGTCTGTATTTGTGCATGCAATATTTTATCCCAAGTGCACAACTTGGCATTTGTTCTTGTGGACTGTCATCTGATTGGTTGCAGACCATTTTTTCAGTCTATCCAGGTATTTCTTTACCCTAGCCCTGATCTCCAGTGCATCTACAATTCCACCTTACTTAGTGTTGTCCACAAATTTGCTATGCTTGCTATCAATCCCACTGTGCTAATTATTAATGACTACATTAAACAATACCAGACCTTGGAGAAACCCACTTGACACATCCTTCCAATGAGCCATTGATGATTACTTGTTCAGTACAAATAATCCAAACAGTTATGTATCTACCTTACAGGACCTTCACCTAGTCTGTTTTTCCATGGCTTGTTAATGAGAATGCTGTGGCAGACAATGTCAACACCTTGCTAAATTCTGTATGACAGTCCTCTAGCTTGCAGGTACCATGACAAAGAGTCTTTGATTAGAGTCAGCAATTATTCTTAATCTCACTGCAAAGACATACTATAGTATCACCATCAAAATGGAGTTAAAGATGTAAAACAAATCTATACACGCATCTTAACTACTGGTGAAGACTGCTTTTAAAAAAGGTACAGCCGCATGTTACTCAACTGAATTGTCAGAATAAAGGAAATTATGTTCAAATTGAGAACTTAAATATAGCAACACACACAAATATCACATTGATAGAGATGGGATAAGGAGCAGACACAGAACAAATACTGATTGGTGAGCAAGAAATACAGACAGTGTTCAGAGATGTACATTCAGGGAAATGCTTTTAATACAGTATGTAACAGGAATACTGGTAAATGGAAGAGGTTTTTGGTTGTAGCCATGCTGGTCTAAAGACATTGGCAGGCAAGGTTCTTTGAGTAGGTGTGACATCTTTTATTAGACCAACTGAGTAGTTGGAAACAAGTTCTTAGCAAGCTTTTGGGCGCAGTCACTCTTCTTCAGGCATAGGCTAAAGAAGGGTGACTAAGCCAAAAAGCTTGCTAAGAACTTGTTTTCAACTACTCAGTTGGTCTAATAAAAGATATCACACCTACTCAAAGAATGTTGCCTGGTAAATGAAAGAATCTCTCTTCCTATCTAACACACTGGGGAACACACACACACACATTTTTACACAGATTCAATTAAGCTGATGTTACCCATAATCCTCACCGTTCTCTATCTTGTTCCAAGGCTTTATGTTCAGCTTCTAGACTAGCTTGAAGACCTGCCTGTTCACTACAGCTGTTGTTCAAAGTTGCAAGTTTTTGTTTCTGCTCTTCAATTTCATGGTCTATTGTGGAACGACGCTGCAAAGCTGAGTGCCTTCTTTCCAATTTGGCCACAGCTTGTTCTAGTGCCTCTCTCTGCTGTTTTTCCCTTGATTCAAGAATTTCTTTTTCTTTTTTCCGAACTTTTTCTTCCTGACGAGCTATGTTGGCAGTGAATTCAAATGTTTCTTGAAGCTGCTGGAGCTGGTTTGTGCTGGCTCTAAACTGAGAAAGCTGTTCTTCTTTTTCTTCTATTTCTTTCTCAATTTGATAAAGAGTATTATCTAATCCTAGCAAACCTCGCTCAAGGACTTCAGAAGCTCTCTGCTTTTCTTCCAGCAAAGCTGGCAAATGATTATTGGTCAGGTATTGAAGCTGACGTTCTTTATACTGTAGTGTGTATTCTGCCGGCCTTATCTTGTCAAATTCTTCAGCCAGCAGGGCAGCATCCAAGCCATTGTCTTCATCTTTCATGAGGAGATTTAACTGTTCTTCATGTTTACATTTTAAATAGTCCAGAGCTTCATGTTCATCTGCTACTTCGTTTTCCAGGTGATCTCTTTGTTGAACTAAATCTTTCTCAAAAAAAGTTAACTGTTCTAGCTGCTTTCTTTTAAAGTCCATAAACTTATGCTGTGCTTTTTCTAACTCTTCACAGTCTTCCTCACCTTCAGATCTGGCTTCCTTGACTCTTAAGAGAGATTCTCTAATATCTTCAAGGTCCTTTTTCTCTTCTTCAACCCTCTGCACATCTCCTCTCTTCAGCAGTTGTATCATAACCTGTTTTTCTCTAAGTTGTTCTTCTAAGTGAGCTACCAGCATCACTTGCTCCCTTTCTTGCTCTTCAAGCCTCTTTTTTTCCAATTCCAGCTTTATATACTGTTCATCCTTTTCCTTCTTAAGTCTTTCCAATTCTCTGAAAATCTGCATTTTCTCAGCTTTTTCATTGTGATTAAGTTCCTGTAGTCGCTGCAGCTCTTCCTTAACTTTAGAAAATATTTCTTCCTGTTGTTTCTTTTTCTGAAGTTCTATCTCCTGTTGTTCCCGTAGTCTTTCTTCTTCAAATTTTTCTTTTTCAGCCAACAAGTCCTTTAATCGGCTCTCAATATGAACACTTCGTCGTTTCAAGCTCTCTTCTTGCTTTTGGATCTGCCGTTGCACTATCTCTGTTTCTTTGCGCTGTGTTTCTACTTCTTGTTGCATCCTTTCCAGCTCTGCCTTGTTAGACCTTTGTTTTTCTTCCATTTCTTCGATCTGTTTCCTAAGATAAAAGAATGTGTACATGTGAGGCTTCATTCCTTCAAAACATACTTCCCTTTCCTTAGAGTCATTATTTTCCTAAAAATTAACAGGGTTTGGAAGACGATCTTGAAGTATACATGAACTAGAACTCTTTCGTTTTAAGTAACTTTGATTTCAATAATATGCATTTTACTTCATATTAAGAGCATAATTTAGCACCTTATATTTGCTCAGTTTCCAGAGAGAAACTGAATCTGCATGACAAACAGATCCATTATAATATTTAAATATTCTAAACCAACATTAAATGAACTTTAAATCATTGTATGAATTTATATGAAAGTAAATTCAAGGTATTTGAACTATATATATTGACCCATACTAATGATGTCTTGTACAATAACTACATAACACTTGCTTATACTGCAGAGAAATAATCCAACATCAGCATCATGATAGAATCAAAAAAACTGCATTGTTTAAACTAGAGGTGATGTTTTATTCCACCCAAATGTTGCCATTAAAAAACCTATTATTACACATTGATGTATTTGGCTTTAAGTTTAGGACTAGCTACAG